CAACCACACGGGAGACCTGGTTGGAATTCTAGGCTCCTGGCAGTCATCTGGGGAGTGAACCAGCAGATGGAAGATCTCCCCCCTCTCTAACTCTGCCTTTCAAATAAATCTTTAAAAAAACAAAAAACCAAAAAACCTAAAACAGGTAAAATTAATGATACATTTTAATGCACCCAAAATATCCCTAATATTATTTTAGTATATAATCCCTATAAGAAATACTAATAAAATATGTTATCTTTTTTTTGGTTCTAAATCTTTAAAATCTGGACTAGTCCCATTTCAAGTGTTCCCTAGCACCATGTGGTTGGTGAGAGACTGCCAAACCGGACAGTTCTAGATTGAGGCAGAGCTAAATTAAAATCTTTGACTCTAAGTTTTCTCATCTGTGGAATGGGCATAATAGCTATGGAAGGTAAAGGTTTAAAAAAAAAGATTTATTTATTTATTATTTGAAAGGCAGAGTTACAGAGAGGCAGAGAGAGAGAGAGGTCTTCCATCTGCTGGTTCACTCCCCAGGTGGCCACAACAGCTGGAGCTGGGTCGATCCGAAGCCAGGAGCCAGGAGCCAGGAGCTTCTTCCAGGTCTCCCACGCAGCTGCAGGGCCCCAAGGACTTGGACCATCTTCTACTGCTTTCTCAGGCCATAGCAGAGAGCTGGATGGGAAGTGGAGCAGCCACCGGCTCCCACATGGAATGCTGGCACTGCAGGCGGTGGCTTTACTTGCTACACCACAGCACTGGCCCCGGAGGGTAAAGCTTTTGACACAAAGTGAGTGTACAATAAATGGAGCTATTGAAAGGAAGAAGTGGAAAAAGGAAGGAATTTTGAGGTTTTATAGCAGCATGGGGAAGGATTTTGTGCTTTCCTCTTTTAAAAAAATTTTTATTTATTTATTTATTTATTTATTTATTTGAAAGCCAGAATTAGAGACAGAGGGAGAGGCAGATCTTCCATCTGCTAGTTCACTCCCCAGATGGCTTCAACAGGCAGGGCTGGGCCAGGCTGAAGCCAGAAGCCTGGAACTACTCAGGTCTCCCCCGTTGGTGGCAGAAACCCAAGCACTTGGGTCGTCTTCTGCCGCCTTTCCAGGTACATTAGCAGGGAACTGGATTGGAACTGGCGCTCTGATAAGGGAATGCTGGTGTCGCAGGCAACAGCTCAGCTCACTGCACCACAATGCCAGCCCGCTTGTGCTTTCTTTAAAGATGAGAGGCTTGGCATGGTTTTAGGCCACAGGGAAGTTTCTGGTAGAGAGAGAAAGGAAAGGGGATAAAGCAATGTAAAAGTTTGGGGAGATCACGTGGGGACATGGAACTGCAGCATCTGGTGGCAAGATTAGCCATAAATCCAAAGTGGGGCACTGTTTTCTCCAAGAAGGAAGGAAGCTGGGGTAGATGAGAGTGGTGGCCAGTCTTGAGCGCTTTCTGTGTAGACAGCACCCAGCCCTGAAAGCTGGGTCCTGCTTCTTAAGTTTTTCATCCATAGATGATTTCTGCCTGATCCATTTTACTACAGTGTTTGTAAAATAATGAATTCCCAACTCTAGCATCAGGCCTCAGCTTCTTTCTACTTCAGCAAGAACCCTCACTTCTCCTCCCTCCCCCACTGATATGAACTCATTGGTTCCTCATTTTCCCAATGGGTTATGATTTGTTAATCATTTGGGTGCCTAATATCCCAGATCTGGCAGGTGGGAGCCCCTCTGATCTGGTTCCTGTCCTGTGAAAAGCTCCTACTTTATTATTTTTTTAAGATTTATTTATTTATTTGAAAGTCAGAGTTACAGAGAGAGAGAGAGAGAGAGAGAGAGAGAGAGAGACCTTCCATCCGCTGGTTCGCTCCCAAATTGGCCACAACAGGCAGAGCTGTGCCAATCTGAAGCCAGGAGCCAGGAGCTTCTTCTGGGTCTCCTACATGGGTGCAGGGCCCAAGGACTTGGGCCATCTTCCAACTGCTTTGCCAGGCCATAGCTGACAGCTAGATCGGACGTGGATCAGCCAGCACTTGAATCAGCGCCCATATGTGATGCTGGCACTGCATGCGGGCAGCCCCACCAGCCATGCCACAGCACCGGCCCCAACAAAACCCTATTTTAGAGCACTCTGGGCATAGTGAGATGTCCCAGGCTCCTCATCTCATATGTACATTGCCCCAGCCTTGGAATCAGTTATTTTTCTAATGGGCCCTGATTCCTCTTAGTGGTGCCAGACACCAAGATCTCAGTGCAAAATGTGCTTACTGCTACCTTTCTCTCTGTCTCTCACTGTCTAACTCTTCCTGTAAAAAAAAAAAAATGTGCTTATCGCTAAGGGGGTGTGGTTTTGGGTCTTTTTAACAGACAGCACTGAAACACATCCATGCACGGATCATATATGAGTGCCCATTCACATTATCACATATAGACTTGAATACACATGTTTAAGCATGCATATACAATTGGTTCTCTGCATGTGGCGGGCGGGCGGGGGGGGGGGGGTTCATGCCTCCAAGAATTCCGCCAACCTGGAATGCTTGTCTAAACCAAAATATCTGAAAAGAAACCCTGCATCTGTACTGAAGAAGCACACTTTTTCCTGTTATCAATCCCTAAACAATACTGCATAATAACTAGGTACACAGCATTTACTTGGTACCGGGTGTAAGTAATCTGAGATGATATAAAGTCCATGGGAGGATGTGTGTAGGTTATTTGCAAACACTATGCCACCTTATACAAGGGACTTGAGCATCCGTGGGGGAGCCGGGAACCAGTCCCCAGGTTTGCTGAGGGGATGAATGTGCATATTTTCTTTTTTTAAAGATTTAATTAGGCCGGCACCGCGGCTCACTAGGCTAATCCTCCGCCTAGCGGCGCCGGCACACCGGGTTCTAGTCCGGGTCGGGGCGCCGGATTCTGTCCCGGTTGCCCCTCTTCCAGGCCAGCTCTCTGCTGTGGCCAGGGAGTGCAGTGGAGGATGGCCCAGGTGCTTGGGCCCTGCACCCCATGGGAGACCAGGAAAAGCACCTGGCTCCTGGCTCCTGCCATCGGATCAGCGCGGTGCGCCGGCCGCAGCGCGCCGGCCGCGGCGGCCATTGGAGGGTGAACCAACGGCAAAGGAAGACCTTTCTCTCTGTCTCTCTCTCTCACTGTCCACTCTGCCAGTCAAAAAAAAAAAAAAAAAAAAAAAAAAGATTTAATTATATATTTGAAAGGCAGAGGTACAGAGAGAAAGGGAGTGGGGGAGAGAGAGAAAGTATCTTCCAATCTGCTGGTTCACTCCCCAAATGGCCACAATGGCTGAGGTTAGGCGGGGCAGAGCTAGGAGCCTGGAACTCCATCCGGGTCTCCCACATGGGTGACAGGGGCCCAGGTACTGGAGCCATTTCTTGCTGCTTCCCCAGGCACATTAGCAGGGAGCTGGATTGGTGCTCACAAGGGACTGGCATTGCTGGCGGAGGCCTAACCCGCTGCGCCAAAACACTGGCCCTGAATGTGCATATTTTCTCAATCTCAGAGTTCACACTAATGCTTCCAAAGCTAATCCATTCTCATAGGACTTTTCTTCTTATTTCCTGCTGGAGTCAGAACCCTGGCTCTTACTAGGATCACACATTCATTCACTGGTTCAATCACGCAATCCTTCTGAAATGTGCCAGTACCGCCACAGAAAGCGACCACAGGGAGCCCGGAATGTGTTCGCAGTTTTCTCCCCTGCCTCGCCAGAGCCCAGCTTCTGAACGGCCACCTCTGGGCAAGACTGTTCCCTGGGGGATGCCGGCTGCGGAGTCGGAGCAGGGCACTGCAGGAGATGGAGAAGGTGTGGGACAGCCAAGGTGGGGCAAAGGTGAGGGAGCGCCAGTGTCAGCAGAGGGCAGACTTCCGGGGCTGGAGGCGATGGCGACACTCGTGCGGTAGCCCCGGCTACTCTGCAGCGGGTTTTCCTGCAGCCATCTTGGCAGCCCGGATGTAGGCTGGAGTGGAGAAGACAGATGGCTGGGATAACTCGCTGATCCAAAGCTGGGGAAAGCACCAGGTGGCTGGGGCAGGAGGACAGACAGTGAAGACACTGGGGTGCTGGCAAGAGAGCAGTTGACGTCATGAGCGCGGGGGTCTGGGCTGAACAGGGAAGTGAAGCCACGAGGGAGAAAGGGCACGGGATGGAGCCGCAAAGGGGTCTGCTGAAGGGACTTGGGGGTCACTGAATCCAGTGACATAGCAGTAGCTAATTCAGGGGCCGAGGGGGAGAGACGGCTTGCGCTAAAGTTGGGACATGATGGGAGGAGCTGCCCTCGGAACAGCCAGACGCCTTGTTTGGCATGTTCCCCAAGAACCAGATCCGAGCCCAGGCTGGAGAGGGCGGCTGTTTGAGGCGCATCACTGCTGTGGATCCAGAGCTAAGAGGCGTGTGCAGATGACTGACTGCATGAAAACATGGCTTCAGGCGGCTCTGCTCCATGGCACTTCACCTTTGAGGTCACAAACGCAGGTCCAGGGCAGTGAAGCAACTTCCGCTTCTGTCCCCAGCCCCGGCCTGGATGGGATTCAGACCCCGCGGCTCTTTAACCCCTACAGTGTTCTGAAGCTACCAGACGCCCGCTTTGTTTTTGTCTGTGCACTACCTTTGTTCTCCACCTGGATTTTAAGCAGGGATGGAGTCTTACAAATCATGGCATTCTCCGCAGTTCTAAGCTAGCCACTGCTCAGTGCATTCTTTTTGCATGATGGTTTAGTGGGAGCAGCCCATGGCTCAAGGTGCAAGTGTCGGCAGTCAGAATTTTCAAGAAGCATTACAGGCTGAGTGTCTCTCACCCGCCACGCCTGGGGCCAGAAGTGGTCCGGGTTTCGGATGCAGCGGGGCAGGTGTTGGAATAGCTGCACGTACATAATGAGACATCTCGAGGGTCGGACACCAAGTCCAAGCTGAAATTCACTTATGTTTCATGTTCACCTTACAGACTGCAGCTGACTTTATGCAATACTTTTAATAATTTAGTACATGAAACAAAGGGTATGTATTACAGCTGAAGGAGCTGGGAGGGTCTTTTTCCCAGGGTGGGGGGGGGGATGCTGAATAACTGGTATGTTGTGTGCCTACGTTTTAATCATGGCCCTCATGTGAGGATATGTGTAGCATGTCAGAGTTTGGAGAGTTTCAGATTTAGGATTTTGGATTTTCAGGTGAGGGATCCTCAATCTTTACTGCTTTCTGTACATTCCTGGAATCACCCTTATTAAACAAGTATCACTTTGGACCATGCGGTGTACTTTGTCAGGAAACAGAGGCATGAAAACAATGCCTATCTAAGCCTGGTTTCACAAGGAAGTTTGTCTTGCGTGGGCCATGGGTGCAACCCAGTTAACAGGGAAAATAAACTGAGCTTTCAGTGAATCGGGCAGGCAGCAGCAGGGTAGAGAAAAGGGGACAAAGATGAATGGCAAGCACTACGAGACATGAGCTTATCTCCCCCAGGAATATTGCACTAAGAAATGGACAGAAATGCCACTGGCGGCATTTAGTCTGACTAAACCTAGCCAGTGCATACTGTCTGTCTTTGTGGTTATACAGGACAGAGCGGGCTTTGTGGCTTCAAAGATATCCTGTGCAGAAGGGGCCAAGTCTCTGTGTCCGAGAAACGTCTCTGCTGCTATTCTAGATAATTAAACCAGAAGTGAGTCTGAGAGCAGCCCGGAAGAGCAGAGGGCGCCAGCTCGATTTCTGCCAAGCAGAGCGTCTGTGTGGCATTTCATCAGTAGCTATATGGCTGTGGGCTGGGTGGGCCCCGATGCAGCAGTGTCGATGGTATCTTTGGGAAGTGCCTGGGTGGCATGAGTGAACTAACAGATGAATGAGTCCATAGGCTAGTTGCTGAGGGAGTGGCTTTGTTAGAAAAGTGAGCTCTCTGGGGTGCGCTTGCTCTGTCTCACCGCTGGATGCCCTGTGTTGCTTCGGGGCGCGAGAGTCCTCAGCACGTGCAGCCCTGTGACCTTGGCCTTCCCAGCCTCCAAAACTGTAAGAAATACATTTCTGTTCTTTATAAGTGACCCAGTCTGTAGTGTGCAATTACAGCAACAGAAAATGGACTAAGAGCTGTCGTCAAGTCAAGCTTGGTGACAATGTAATCAACGACCGTGATCAAAGGTCGTGTCAGAGTGGCCAGGTATCCAGGAAAGCACCAAAATTCTTGCCCCTTTTAATGACAAGTGAGAAAAAAAAACACCTAGAATTTTTGTTCTCAAAGAGCCCCTCTGTCCATATGGAATCCCTGTATTTAGTATTCCACCAAAAACTGAAGGGCAATGCTTACTGCCGTCGCCTTGCCTGCTTGCATGCGTTTATACCACTGGCGCCTCTCCCCGGCCGGAAAAGGGCATTCTGCCACCAGGATGGCGACAGGACCTCGGTTAGGCCATGGGTCCAAAAAAGTTGGGCTTCTTAAGAAAATGTGTTCACCCGAAATCCATTTTGAATTTCAAAGCATTACTTGTACTAGGGACTATGCGTTTAGTTTATAAAAACTACGTATGGAGAACATTCCTTGTTCCTCCCCTACAGCCTGACAGCCCAGCGGGAAGCTGATCTCTGTCCCCTGCACCCACTCTGTTTGCGCCCTGTCTCCGTCCTTGGCTCACCCTCAGTCATCGACAGGTTCAGGTGGTTTCTCCAGCAGTATGAGGTTTATTCAGACCGTTCAGGTGGTTAGAATGGATTACCTGAGTTTTTCATTCTAAAATTTCTAGCCAGGGTCACTCCTTCAGCCTTTAACAAAAGCTGAATAGGAAATGACAGGCACACTGGCTTCTGGAGGCTGCAGCATGTAAATCTCCTGCGGGCACTTCTTCCTAATCCAGGGAGGAAAACTTGCCACTCTTTTCTAAAGAGAACAAATATGACTCCTTGACAGGATTCACTTCACGTGAGCTGGGCGGTGCTTGGAATCTAATGAGCATGGCCTTCTAGGAGTTGCTGGATGTGGAGGCTATGCCTGGGTTTCATGGGATTTTGCCCCTTTAACACACATCCAAACCACACCTCTCAGGAAGCTTTGTGTTTTCAAAAAGCATTTCTACAAGCAACTCATCATGTATTCTGATTTTTTTATTCCAAAAATGTCATCATCATACTAGGGTGCCTTTCGTAACCTTTCTCCAAAGTTATTTGGAGCAAAAATACGTAGTGCTGACCAACTTTCAAACAAGTTCGCCTTCAGCTGTTTACAGCGGTCTGGGGACTTGTCCTTTAAGGACATCCGCTTAGGGACAAACAGCGGGGTTTTGGCTGGGTGCTTTCTCGGTACTCAGGACGCTGACTGAGGGCTTAGGGTATGGGCAAGTGTGGCACAAGGGACGGCATCAGCAAACTCCCCAGGTGCAGAGCGCAGAGCTCATGCCCTGCAGAAGGACGCCCTTGGTGGGGGGGACTGCACCTGGGAATTCTCTGCGCTCTGCTCAGTTTCTCAAACTGGAAATTAAAAAAAAGACTGATACACGGGGATGCTAATGAAGTGTGTGTTGCGTGTCGTTCTAATCACTACTCACCCAGCTAGTGGTGGGTGTGGAAAGAGCTGAGAAGTGATAATGAAAAATGTGCTAGAAACCTTCCAATCCAATGTGAAAGGAAAAGAGTAAGGCCAAAACAGGGAGGCTGGCCCGAGCTGGAGGGATCTCTTTAACGTGACTCCAGCAGGTCACCATGACAGTCACAGCCAGCAGACTGCTTGTTTGGTGCTCATGAGGGACTCTGGGAAAGAAATGGCTGACATAAAATATCTGTTCACATAAGATTATGCAGTTAACCAATCAAAGGAAACAACTGGTTAGAGAGAAAGAATTTTAATCATAGGGTTAAAAATTTACATAACCTTGTTGAACATAATATATGTAACATTAAATTCTGGGTAATACAGGAATTGTCTCTATGTGGGAATAGCTTACTTGGAGCTAAACTTGTATACTAACAGTCTGACTGATCACCCATCACCAGAAAGCTGACACAAGACATTTTTGGATAGCTTACTCCCAAAATACTTTTAAAAGAGTTCAATCTTTTAAAGTTGATTTGCATATAATTTTGGAGAGAGTAGCTATGGGTAAAATGCGGTATATCTGTGCTGTAGTTCCACGAGCACACACTTTGGCTGCTGCTAGAGGAAGCTTTTCCATACATTATAAGAACATTTCATTTTATGAAAAAAATAACTGAATTGATGAGGTGTGCATCGTGAGGACATGGACGGAGTCTGAGTACAAAGTGGGGGGTCAGCACATGATGAGTGTGCAACACAGTATACCACAGACAGACAGACAGACAGTCCCCAGGCCTACTTCTCCCTGCCTCACACAGGCTGTCTGGCCCAGAACGTCCCCGGGACATGCCTGCATGGCATGTGCACGCGCACCTATGGGTATGTGTATATGTGTAAGGATGGGTATGCCACCATGGCACCACGGCCTGTCTTTGTGGCAGCATATATAGTCCTAGGCCAGTTTGGCTTCATACCTGGGGCTGGCTCTTGGCTGGAGTTTGTACTTTTCTTTGGAGAGCATGGCACTGTAAAGCCTGGCTTCTTACTCTGTGCAAACAAGATAAACAAGCAGATTTCACTGTATGTTGCAATTTCTAATTGTACTTATGGTTAGGGCTGGCTTTATTGGGATCTAGTGACAGTACTTGTATTTTCTCCCCAAATACCAAAGTACTGCCATTGTTACAGGGCCTGGTTCGTCAGATGGTCAAATTAGGGCCCATGGGTGACATCTTCATTGCCCTGGGAAGCAGAGGGGCTGTGTTTTATAGGCTGTCTAGAAACATTTCTCAGCGGGAGAAAAGGACCTGCTCTAGCAAGGTGGCGGTCTGCCCATGTTTTCAGCTCTGTGTGTCTGACATGCTATGGAAGTCAAACGCCCACATCTCCAACAGAGACCAGCACACCAAGAACTTGAAGAAAATAAAGGAAAGGGGGCCGGCGCTGTGGTGTAGCAGGTAAAGCCGCCACCTGCAGTGCTGGCATCCCATATGGGCACTGGTTAGAGTCCAGGCTGCTCCACTTCCTATCCAGCTCTCTGCCATGGCCTGGGAAAGCAGTGGAAGATGGCCCAAGTCCTTGGGCCCCTGCAACTGTGTGGGAGATCAAGAGGAAGCTCCTGGCTCCTGGCTTCAGATGGATGCAATTCTGGCCGTTGCAGCCAACTGAGGAGTGAACCAGTGGATGGAAGGCCTCTCTCTTTCTCTGCCTCTCCTCTCTCTGCGTAACTCTGACTTTCAAATAAATAAATAAATCTTAAAAAAAGAGAGAGAGAGAGAGAGAGAGAGAGGGGCTGGCGCCATGGCCAGTTCTAGTCCCAGCTGCTCCACTTCTCATCCAGCTCTCTGCTGTGGCTTGGGAGAGCAGTGGAGGATGGCCCAAGTGCTTGGGCCCTGCACCCGCATGGGAGACCAGGAGGAAGCACCTGGCTCCTTGCTTCGGATTGGCACAGCTCCAGCCATTGCAGCCATTTGGGGACTGAACCAATGGAAGGAACCAACCTTTCTCTGTCTCTCCCTCTCAAATAAATAAATAAATAAATAATCCTAAAAAAGAAAAGAAAAGAAAGGAAGGGTGAAGACCGCTTTGGCAGCCACCGGCTCCACTGGATGTACCTGAGTCCATGGCTACCCGCTGCGGCCTGCATGGGAAGTTTCAGCGGTGGGATTTGGCTTTAGCTTCCTGCAGACTTTGTGAAATGAATGGCAGAGGAAGAAACAGGACAAGTTCATCTCAGTCTGTCAGGACTGAAAACTTTGATCTGACTTTGTTGGAACTCTCTTCCTTGCTCTTCAGTTTCTGTCACACACAGTGATCCGTCTTGTCACCTTTCCTGGAGCATCTTATTAGTATTTTTTTTCTATGTTCTCTTTCACTTTGATTTATTTGAAAGGCAGACAATGAGCCAGAGATCTCCCATCTGCCAGTACACTCCCCACATGCTGCAGCAGCTTGGACTGGGCCTGGTCCCTCCCACATGGAAGGCAGAGACCCAAGTACTGAGCTATCACCCGCTATCACCTACTCCCAGAGTAGGCATTAGCAGGAAGCTGGAACCGAAAATGGAGCTGAGACTCAAGCCCAGGCATTCCTATAGGGGATCCAGATATCCAAGCAGCATCCTAACTGCCACCCCACATGACTACCTGCAGCACCTTACTCGTCCGTTACAGACCTTGCACATAGCAGGTTCTCCAGAAGACACTAACAGGCAAATGAGGGCATCAAACTAAGAATCCCTAAACAAGAGACTGGCAGAGACCACAGGGACATCACCTTGGGAGGACTGTCCATTCCCTATCTAGGACACGCAAGTTCATCCAACAACATTCTTCCATGGACACAGGCGGAACGACAGCTTAGTAGCTGTTTCCCCACCTCTCTCCCCTTCAGGAAAGAACAGGCAGACGCAAATGTGCCTGCGAGAGGTTATTATAGTGATAAATAGGAATTCCACATAACTTACTGTTTTGCAAAAGCAACTCACTCACATCTCACTGTCAATGTGGCAGCCCTGGGTGTGAGGCACAACTCACAGTGGGTGGTGACTGCCTAGGGTTGAGAACCATGGCAACATTCACTGTCACTGCTTTACCTTGTGTGTTGCCAGAAACTTACAAAATAATGGCTGCCTAAGGAGAACTTTGTTGAAATAAAATTACATTCTCACTGGGAAGCTTTTAAGCTCTGGGTGGGCTTCCTCCAGGCTCCTGGTGCCTGTTGGCTGTGCCCCAGGCTGGCCAGCTGGTTTGTAGCTGCCTTCGAGATACACCTGAGCAGAACCACACTGAAGAGGTGAAACAGTAGGGACTGTGGATCATCACCCACCCAAATCATACAATACAACTGCAAAGAAATTCAAGTGAACTGCCGGCACACGCACTCGGTGAGGTACCTGCGTTCTCTCTTGATTCTTAAGTAGAGTCAGGGTGGTCACTGATGGCTCCCGGCAGGTGCCTTTGTCTCTGCCATTTAACTGTGTCTGAAATAAAAGAACGCAACCTCACTGGACTTTCCACTTGAAAATATGTGGTCATGTTGAGTACACATTAACTGTGTGTCTTTTATTCATAGGTGTTGATTCATTATCAGATTCTAACACCAAAAATATGGTAACACACAAAGGAGTAACAATTCAAAGAAAAGGAGAGAGGACTAGTATTTGAGGGCTTACTGTTTACCAGGTACTTCACACATTTGTGTATCTAATTCTCACCACAACCTCAGAGTGTAGGTATCATCGCCTCAGCATTTCAGATGCCGGAGCTGAGTCCTAGGTAGGGTTAAGCAACTCATGGACACAGGTTTAGTACTTTTTATCCAAAAAGCTTGGGATGAGAACTGTTTCAGATTTGGGATTTTTTTTCCAGATATTTAGAAAGTTTGCATATACATTATGATGTATCTTGGAGATATGATCAAAATCTAAACAAACATGAAATCCTGGGCTGACACTGAAGCATAGTAGGTTAAGCCGCTGTCTGCAACACTAGCATCCCATATCAGAATGCTGATCGTGGCTGCTCCACTTCCAATTCAGCTTCCTGCTAATGTGTCCAGGAGGCTAGCAGAGGATGGCTCAAGTATTTGGGCCCCTGCCACTCTCGTGGGAGACTGGATGGAGCTCCTACTACTGGCTTTGGCCTGGCCTAGCCCCTGGCTATTGGGGCCATTTAGGGACTGAACCAGTGGATAGAAGATCTCTGTTTCTTTCTTTTTGTCATTCTGCCTTTCAAATAAATAAATTTTAAGAAAAATACATAAAATTCACTTATGTTTCATGTATACTTTATACACATACCTTGAAGGTAATTTTATATAGTACCTTTAAAAATGTTATACATGAGACAGTCATACAGTGTGGAATTTTACACTGTGGCATCATGTTGGCACTCAAAAAGTTTTGGATTTTCAGACTGGGGATGCTAAACTCCAACAAAATAGTGTTGAGTGAAACCTACACTTCAGACAGACGTCGAAGTTTGTGCTCTTACCACTGTTACATTAGCGACCAAATAAACGGCCCTCCCTCTGGACCAGGGACAGCTGTGATCCGTGGGATTCCCAGGGTACAGTAGCGGGCCTCACTGTTCACTATTAGCCCCAGAGTAACATTCTACATAAGGAGGGCTCACTATCCACTAAGAATTAGCTACTACAGTACAAAAGCTATTTTTTAAAAAATTTATTTATTTGAAAGGTAGAGTTAGAGACAGAGACAGAGACAGAGAGAACTTCCATTTGCTGGTTTGCTTCCCAAATGGCTGCAATGGCAGGGGCTGGGCCAAGCTGAAGCCAGGAGCCTGTGGCTCTGTTCAGGTCTCCCTTGTGGATGAGAATCCAAGGACTTGGGTTGTCCTCCACTGCTTTCCCAGATGCATCAGCAGGGAGCTGGATCAGAAGTGGAGCAGCCAGGACTCAAACCAGGACTCAGATGGGATGCTGGCATAGCAGGTGGTGGCTTAACCCACTGCACTACAATGCCGGCCCCTTAAATGTTTGTTTATTCATTTTTATTTCTTTGAAAGACACAGTGACAGAGAGAAGTAGATAGAGATAGAGATCTTCCATCCATCTTCCAGGTTACTCCCCAGATCCCTACAACAACCAGGGCCAGGCCAAGCCAGAGCCAGGAGCCAGGAGCCAGGAGCTCCTTGTGTTTTCCACACGGGTTGCAAGGACTCAAGAACTTGCGCCATCATTCACTGCCTCCCAGGCACATTGGCAGGGGGCTGGATAAGAAGCCAAGTGGAGGTGTCACCTGATCTCAGGCGCTCTGATATGGGACACGGCGATTCCAAGAGCAGCTTAACCTGCTGTGCTCTAATACCTGCTTCTCCAAAAGCTATTTTTATGTATAAAATAGTCAAAGATTTTATAACCACAAATATGTTTTGGTGCCTCTCCCCTGTGTTTCCACTGCATCCTGCTCTGTGATATAATTTCCTCCTTACTTGTTAAAACCCCCACCATGGCCCACTCTGTGGCTCACTTGGCTAATCCTCTGCCTGTGGCGCTGGCACCCCAGGTTGGGGTGCCGGCTACTAGTCCCGGTTGCTCCTCTTCCAGGCCAGCTCTCTGCTGTGGCCCAGGAGGACAGTGGAGGATGGCCCAGGTGCTTGGGTCCTGCACCCGCATGGGAGACTGGGAGAAAGTACCTGGCTCCTGGCTTCAGATCGGCGCAGCGCCGGTGGTAGCAGCCATTAGGGGAGTGAACCAACAGAAGGAAGACCTTTCTCTCTGTCTTTCACTGTCTATAACTCTCTCTCTGTCTCTCTCTCTCACTGTCTAACTCCGCCTGGGAAAAAACAAACAAACAAACAAACAACACCAACCAGACCCTAAGGTCTTTAAGGCTGGGCTATTAATTGTTCAATGTTGTATCCCCAGCATCCAGTAAAGGGCCTGGCAAGTAGTAGATATGTGTTGATATTAAAATAAAACATGTTGGAGCCGGCGCTGTGGTGTAGCAGGTAAAGCCACCACCTGCAGTGCGGCATCCCATATGGGCGCCGGTTCGAGTCCCTGCTGCTCCACTTCTGGTCCAGCTCTCTGCTATGGCCTGGGAAAGCAGTAGAAGATGGCCCACATCCTTGGGCCCCTGCCCACATGGGAGACCCAGAAGAAGCTCCTGGCTCCTGGCTTCGGATCAGGGCAGCTTCAGTCATTGCGGCCAACTGGGGAGTGAACCAGCGGATGGAAGATCTCTCTCTCTCTCTCTCTCTCTCTCTTCCTCTCCTTCTCTCTCTGTGTAACTCTGACTTTCAATAAATAAATCTAAAAAAAAAATTAAAATGTGTTGACTAAGTATATGGATGAAGGGATGGTAAAGCAGCCTGTTTTTATGTTCTTGGTATAAAATCATGAATCACCAATATTTAATGTAAGATTTCAGTGATGTCTAGTTCAAAGCAGGGTCCACATCCTCACCAATATTTTTATTGTTTTTTAAAAAACTGGGGCTGGGGAGGGAGGGAAGGGTGGGGTGGAAAGTATCACTATGTTCTTGAAGCTGTATATAGGAAATACATGAAAGTTAAATACCTTAACTAAAAATTTTTTAAAAAATTGGGGTTGGTATTGTGGCTTAGTGGGTAAAGTTGCTGCTTGTGATGCCAACTCTCATATAGGCACCGGTTTGTATCCCAGCTGTTCCACTTCCAATGTAGCTCCCTTCTAATGGCTTGGGAAAAGCAGAGGAAGATAGCCAAAGTGTTTGGAGCCCTGCACTCACGTGGGAGACCTGGAGGAAGCTCCTGGCTTCAGCTTGGTCCAGCACTGGCCAACTGGGGAGTGAACCAGCAGATGGAAGATCTCTCTCTGTCTCTCCCTCTCTGTAACTCTGCCCTTCAAAATAAATAAATATTTTTAAAAATGATTAAAAATTTTATTTCATTTTAATTGAAAAGCAGAGAGACAAACAAGCAATCTCTCTCATTAGCTGGTTCACTTCCCAAGTGCCCGCAATAGCCAGGGCTGTGCCAGGATACAGCCCAGAGCCCAGAACTCAATTGAGTATCTCACAAGGGGGACAGAGGCCCAAGTGCCTGACACCATCTCTTGCCTCCCAGGATGAATATTAGCAGGAAGTTGGACTGTTAGTGGAGGACCTGGGACTTGAACCAGGAACTCCAATATGGGATTACAGGAGTCTCAAGTGTCAAATACCCAAGCCAACTTCTCCCATCTTAGGTTCCCTTGCTGCCAGCGGCACGGACAGACTACTGCAGTCTCCAGCCTGTGGGAGAGATGTGCTAATTGGGGAAATCAAAGAACCTGGGTGACAGAGTCAGGCAAAAGTAATACCTCATTCAACTTTGGTTTTTCATGTTTCATCACTGAAGTGGAATTCTCTAAATTTTTGAAAAAGGTTGGCTGCTTTTGCAGAGTAGAAGTAAATCCTGCCTTTTCCTAGAAGTATTGAGTGAAAATAGAGCACGTTTTTCAGTCAGTCCATTCATAATCCACCCAGCTCACCCAACTGCAAAACTCCCCTTTCTGAAAGCATTTTTGTCTTCAGCAAGCAGCGGATCTGGCATGTACATGGCAGCTGGGAGAAAGGCTGAGAAGGTGCTAAGCAGGCGTCACTTTTCCAGTACCACCTCCTTCCAGAAGTCCAGTCTTGGACAAGCCCCAGACTTGCCGTGCCAGGTACAGGAGAGGAGTGGCGGGCCAAAGCTGAAACCTCACACTCTGACCCCAAGTCAGAAGGGCTCCCTCTGCCCCAGGCCCCACCCCTCTTTTGGTTCAGTGTGAGCTTTAACCCCTTTCTCGCTCCCTCTGTGGGGCACTCTGCAACCAGAGAGCAGAAGCAGGTAGCACGGCTTTCTTACTGGGGCATCTTCTGTTAACTTGAATTTGCGCATCAAATGATTTTTCTGATACTGCTTAGTTCGCTGTTTCCTGGTCTGCAGCATCTTCTTCTTTTTCTTCTTAAACTTCTTCTGATTCACCTAGTCCAGAAAGGACAGAGAAACTGCTTACTACGCCCACGCACACGTAGCCTTCTTTCCACCCAACACTCGAGACACAAAGCTTAATCCAGAATGCACCCTCCCATTGCTGCCTCCTGAGCAGAGGCTGCTCCGCAGGCAGCACCACAGGCAGACTGCAAAGGGGCACCCATAGCCACGTGTCTGTGATTTACAATATGAAACCAGCTTACTTACGCAATAACGGCAGGTCTAGATAACACTAATCATTAGATGTAAGGTTCGGTTTGGTTGTTGTCGTAAGGTGGCCTTAATAACTAAGCCAGAAAATTATAAAGGACAAAATGAAAGACCCTAGGGGCAAGGTGACTAGGTAGGACACGTTGTTGTAGCTTCTGTACATCCTAGGACAATCAGAAACGTTTCGCCAAATGATCCAATAGTGTATTTGTAAGGCTGCTACTTCTTGGGTGTAAGAGTCAATGCAACCTCACCTCATCTTCTATGTTCAGTAGGTGAACAGGGAGACCATCTGAGAGGGAGCTGTCAGAACCGCTGGTGCTGTTCCCCAAAGGAAAGAAAGAAGGAAGGAAAATAACTTATTATATGTCCAGGAATGAAACAGCAGACCAGCCACATGGGTCCAGGTCACTGTCCACTATCTGCTGCCATATCTATGCTTCAGTCACTAAGAATTCTTTTAAAAGTAATTATTAATTTTATTGGAGAGATAGAAATAGGGAGAGGGATAGATAGAAGGGTTGAGGGAAGAGGGCAGGGAGAAAGAGATTGAGAATGAAAGAGAACCCATCCATTTGCTAACTTCCCAAATGCCCATAACAGCTGGGGTGGAGGGGAGGAAAGCTGAGAGAGACAGAGAGAGAGAGACAGAGAGAGGGAGAGAGAAAAGTCTTCCATCTGCTGGTTCACTCCCCAAATGGCCACAACGGCTGGAGCTAAGCCCATCCGAAGCCAGGAGCCAGGCGCTTCTTCTGGGTCTCCCACATGGGTTCAGGGACCCAAGGACTTGGGCCATCCTCCACTGCTTTCCCAGACACAGCAGGAGAGCGCTGGATTGGAAGTGGAGCAGCCGGGACTTGAACCATCGCTCCACTATGGGATGCCAGTGCCGCAGGCGGCGGCTTAACCTGCTTCACCAGCCCCCTGACATGTTTTAAGGGACGAATGACAGGATTTGACCCAAGAACTGCTCTCTGGGTTTTCTCCCAGCCTCTGGTTCCTTCTTCTCCGTCTCCCTGCTGGCCCCTTCCTATCTCTTTGGCCCTTTTAAAGCTGTGACGTCCAGCTCAGACTCAGACCTTTTGTTTATCTGCGCTGACTTCCTTGGAGCCCACCCAGTTTTAAGGTTGACGAGTCTCCACTGGCCCTCTTCACTGAACTCCACAGCCAACTGCTTGGCCACTGTCTGTTAAACGTCTAGTGGACACCTCAGACTCAACAAGTCCAACGCCAGACTCCTGCCCTTCACCTCCTCCCCAGCCTTTCCCACGCCTTTCACCTGTGTTATGGCAACAGCCTCTTAATGAAGAACTCAGAGTGTTAAAGGCAGGGAAGGTCTCTACGGGAGGCAAGAAGTAGCCTCTCACCATAATAGAGGGGTTCTTTTTGTTAAAAAAAAAAAAAAAGAAGAAGAAGAAAGAAAAAAAGCATGCATTTTCAGTTGGCTTCAGCAGAATTTTTAAAAATTATTGCTTTATTTTCAAAGTTTTTTAAATTTATTTGAAAGGCAGAGACAGAGAATGCGGGGGTGGGGTAGACATCTTTCATCTGCTGGTCTACTCCCCAAAATAGCCAAAATGGCTGGGGCTAGGCCAGGCAGAAGCCAGGAACCAGGAGCTTTATCCAGGTCTCCCAAGTAGGTACAGGGGCCCAAGCAGCTGGGCCATCCGTTGCTGCTTTTCTCAGGCACACTAGCAGGGAGCTGGATCAGAAATGGCACAGTCAGGACTCACATGGAATGCTGGCACTGCAGGTGGAGGCCCAACCCTCTACACCATAGTGCTGGCCCCAGAATTTTTTTAAATTAAAAAATATTGAGACTGGTGCTGTGGTGTAGTGGGTAAAGCTGCTACCTGTAGTGCCGGCATCCCATATAGGCACCAGTTCAAGACCTGGCTGCTCAGCTTCCCATCTAGCTCTCTGCTATGGCCTGGGAAAGCAGAAGATGGTCCAAGTGCTTGAGCCCCTGTATCCGTGTGGGAGACCAGGAAGAAGCTCCTGGCTCCTGGCTTCAAATAGGCCCAGCTCTGGCCATTGAGGCCATTTAGGGAGTGAACCAGCAGATGGAAGATCTCTTTTTCTCTTTACCTCTGCCTCTCTGTAACTCGGCCTTTCAAATATATATATATATATATATATTTTTTTTTTTTTTAAATATATTGGGAGCTCCTTGGGGCCAGGGACTCTGCCTCATTCAATTGTGTTTCCTGTGCTGACCCACTGCCTGGCATATAATAGGTGTTTAAAATTTTAAAAAGATATATTTATTTATTTGAAAAGCAGAGTATCAGACGAAGAGAAATCTTACATCCTGTAATATCCAGGGCTGGGCCAGGCTGAAGACAGGAGCTGGGAACTCCATCCAGGTCTCCCATGTGGGTGGCAGAGACCCAAATACTTTAGCCATCATCTTCTCCCTCCCAGGTGCACATAAGCAGGTGGCTGAATTCAAAGTGGAGTAGACAAGAATTCAGCCAGGCACTCTGATATGGGATGTGGGTGTTCTTAGTGGTAGATAAACCTGCTGTGCCATGGCACCCGCCTCAATACAGGTGTTCTTGCTGAAACTAAAACCTAAGTCGGACCATGATGCTTCTCCACTCAAAACCTTCCAAAGGCCTGCCATCTCCCCTGGATAACAGGCAAAAGCTTTACAACAACCACAAGGCCCTACACAAACTGCCTGCCCAACTCCCTACTCCTTTCTTGTGCCTTAAACAGAGGCTGGCAAAGAACATGCACTCAACTCACAATTGCTGGAGAAATGGAGTTTATATAACTGTGCCATGACCTGAGGAATAGGAATGTTTTTGTACTTGAGGCCTAAAACCCAAACCAACCAAAAAAGAGCAAGCAAAACAAAAATAAATAAATAGGGGCCCACGAATAAATAAGGTTAAGCTACCATTTGCAGTGCCGGCATCCCCCATGTGGGCCAGTTTGAGTCCTGGCTGCTCCGCTTCAGGTCCTGCTCCCTGTTAATGGCCTGGGAAAAGCAGCAGCAGATGGCCCAAGTGTGCAGACCCCTGCTACCCACGTGGGAGACCCTGATGAAGCTCCTGGCTCCAGCCTGGCCTAGCCATGGCTGTCGCGGCCATCTGAAGAACAAACCAGCAGATGGAAGATCTCTCTTTGTCTCTTCCTCTCTCTTTCAAAATAAATAAATAAATAAACATGTATTTATTTATTAAAAAAAAAAAAAAAAACAGAAACTTTCTCTGGTTTTTCTTTGAAATGAAGTTTGTTACCTGGATTCAATGTCAGACAAAGAGATGTCACTCCAGTTTCCTTCTAAATCTATATCTTGTCCAAGTTGATTGAATTTCTTGTGGATTTCCTGTTGTAAGAGCTCCTTAAGTTCTGCTAGACATTGAGTGAACTGTGAGGGTAAAAAAAAAATAACTAATTTTTTAAAAAATGATCTATTTTATTTATCTGAAAGGCAGAGTCACAGAGAGAGATGGAGAGATGGAGAGAGAGAAAAAGAGACCTTACATCTGCTGGTTGACTCCCCAAGTGGCCACAGTGGCCAGGACTGGGCCAGGCTGAAGCTGGGAGCCAGGAATTCCACCCGAGTTTCCCGCGTAGGTGGCAAGGACCAAGCACTTTGGCCATCCTCTGCTGCTTTTCCAGGAGCATTAGCAGGGAGCTGGGCTGGAAGTGGAGCAGCCGGAACTTGAACCACTGCTCCAATATGAGATGCCAGTGTTGCAAGCAGCAGTTTAACCTGTATTGCCACAACACTGGCCCCGAAAGAACTATTTTTGCTAATTCACTTATTCATCAAATATTTACTAAGATGTGCTGGAAGGCATTTTACTTATTGCTGGGGACACTAAGAAAAATAAGATGCAGGGGCAGGCACTGTGGTGCAGTGGGATCAGCCTCCATCTGGACACCTGCATCCCATATTGGAGTGCTGGCTGGAGTCCTGGCTTCTCCACTTCTGATCCAGGCACCTGCTAATGCTAGTGGTTCACTTCCCAAATGTCAGCAACAGCTGGACGAGGTGGGGACTGAAGCTGGGAAGCAGGAACTCGACTTGGGCCTCCCACAAAGGTTGTAGGGACGCTGCCTCTTGAGCCATCACTGCCACCTCCCCAGGTGTACATTAGCAGATCAGTTTAGCATACATTAAGTAAAGATTTCAACAGTTTGCTCCCACACAGAAACATAAAGTGACAAATACTGTTTGAGTACTAGTTATAGCATTAAATCACAATGTACAATACAGCACACTAAGGACAGAGATCCTACATGAGGAGTAAGTGCACAGTGACTCCTGTTGTTGACTTAACAAACTGACACTCTTGTTTATGGCATCAGTAATCACCCTAGGCTCTTGTCATGAGCTGCCAAGGCTATGGAAGCCCCCTGAGTTCATTGACTCTGATCATTTTTAGACAAGGCCATGGTCAAAGTGGAAGTTCTCTCCTCCCTTCAGAGAAAGGTACCTCCTTCTTTGATGAACCGTTCTTTCCACTGGGATCTCACTCGCGGAGATCTTTCATTTAGGTTTTTTTTTTTTTCCCCCAGAGTGTCTTGGCTTTCCATGCCTGAAATACTCTCATGGGCTTTTCAGCCGGATCTGCCTGCCTTAAGGGCTGATTCTGAGGCCAGAGTGCTGTTTAGGACATCTGCCATTCTATGGGTCTGCTGTGTATCTCACTTCCCATGTCGGATCATTCTCTCCCTTTTTCATTCTATCAGCTAGTATTTGCAGACACTATTCTTGTTTATGTGATCCCTTTGGTTCTTAGTCCTATCATTATGATCAATTGTGAACAGAAATTGATCACTGGGACTAGTGAGATGGCATTGGTACATGCCACTTTGATGGGATTGAATTGGAATCCCCTGGTATGTTTCTAACTCTACCGTTTGAGTTAAGTCAGCTTGAGCATGTCCCAAATTGCACATCTCTTCCCTCTCTTATTCCCACTCTTATATTTAACAGTGATCACTTTTCAGTTAAGTTTCAGCACTTCAGAAGAATTGTGTATTGATTACAGTATTCAACCAAAAGTATTAAGTAGAACAAACAAACAAAAAATACTAAGAGGGATAACATATTAAGTTGCTCATCAACAGTCAGGGTGAGGGCTGATCAAGTCACCGTTTCTCATAGTGTTCATTTCACTTTAACAGGTTTCCTTTTTGGTGCTCAGTTAGTTGTCACCTAACAGGGAGAACAAGTGGTATTTGTCCCTTTGGGATTGGCTTATTTCACTCAGCATAATGTTTTCCAAATTCCTAACAGGGATCACTTTTCAGTTAAAATTTTTTTTTTTTTTTTTTTTTTTTTTTTGTGACAGGCAGAGTGGACAGTGAGAGAGAGAGAGACAGAGAGAAAGGTCTTCCTTTTGCCGTTGGTTCACCCTCCAATGGCCGCCGCGGCTGGCGCGCTGCGGCCGGCGCACCGCGCTGATCCGATGGCAGGAGCCAGGAGCCAGGTGCTTTTCCTGGTCTCCCATGGGGTGCAGGGCCCAAGCACCTGGGCCATCCTCCACTGCACTCCCTGGCCACAGCAGAGGGCTGGCCTGGAAGAGGGGCAACCGGGACAGAATCCGGCGCCCCGACCGGGACTAGAACCCGGTGTGCCGGCGCCGCTAGGCGGAGGATTAGCCTAGTGAGCCACGGCGCCGGCCTTCAGTTAAAATTTAAACACCTAAGAATAATTGTGTGTTAATTATACCACATTTCTTTTTTTTTTTTTTTTTTTTTTTTTTTTTTGACAGGCAGAGTGGACAGTGAGAGAGAGAGACAGAGAGAAAGGTCTTCCTTTGCCGTTGGTTCACCCTCCAATGGCCGCCGCGGCTGGCGCACTGCGGCCGGCGCACCGCGCTGATCCGATGGCAGGAGCCAGGAGCCAGGTGCTTTTCCTGGTCTCCCATGGGGTGCAGGGCCCAAGCACCTGGGCCATCCTCCACTGCACTCCCTGGCCACAGCAGAGAGCTGGCCTGGAAGAGGGGCAACCGGGACAGAATCCAGCACCCCGACCGGGACTAGAACCTGGTGTGCCGGCACCGCTAGGCAGAGGATTAGCCTAGTGAGCCGCGGTGCCGGCCCTACACCACATTTCTTAAAACTCCATTTTTTACCTTGGCTTGGTCAGGATCACAGAAATCCAGAAGTGTGTCACAGACGTGATAACCTAAGGACTTCAGATCCTCAATGGTAAAATGAGTGTCTCTTTTACTGCCTGGAAAGAATAATCCATGAACATTTCTTATGAAATCTTAATGAATGAATGTCAATCTAATTTGTTAGTATCTTTCTAGAAAGACTACCCCTTAACACACAATATCCTGCTTCTGGACAGGGTTGCTCCCCTTGTTTTAGTCTGGTCCAGAAGAATCTTTGACAATGAAAACAATGTATAGTTACGATGCTTACAGTTGTTTACGTTTTACCTTGTATAGGCCCTTGACATGCAGTGTCTCGTTAACTTGTGTCTATCATGCAGGTACTATCACAGTTAAAGGAAAATGAGGCTCAAAGGGATTCAGATATTTACCCAGAATCACATCTCGTAAAGGGGGCTCAAACCCAAACCCACTTCTGCTTGGTTCCAGGTGCTGAGTCACCATGCTATAGTGCCCTCCCCAGTGCTGTCTTTCACATTCATATTTTGGGTACTGGGATTTAGAATGAGACCAGACATGGAAGTCCCCTCGGCCGGTCACCTCTCCAGGTGCTGTGCTTGGCCTGCCCTAGCCACGCTGGCCCATGGTACAGCAGTATACTTACCCAGGGTGGACCCGCCGAACGTAGACTCCATGGTATAGCTGTTCAGGATTCCCATCCGCCACATCACAACTCGTCCCGTTCCTTCTTTGCACTTTTGAACCTTAAAATTACAACTATGAAAAGAGAACTAAAGAGAAATCCAAAATCTCTGTTAATCACAAACCAGCAAAGGTAAGATGTCTAAGATTCATTAATACGAAACAAGATGGTTCCTCTGGGTCCATATATAACTTCCAAAGTATGTTCTGCAAAATACTAGTTCTTTTAAAATTGTTTTAAATGTATTTACTTTCATTTTATTTCAAAGGCAGAGAAACAGACAGATCTTCCATTTGCTGGTTTACTCCCCCAAATGCCCACAACAGCCAGAGCTGGGCCAGGCTGAAGCCAAGAGCTCAGAACTCAATTTGGGTCTCCCGTGTTTCGAGCCATCTTCTGCCTCCTAGGAGGCATAGTAGCAGGTAGCTGGATTGGAAGCAGAGGAGCCGGGACTCGAACCAGACACTCTGGTATGAGAAGCAAGTGGTGTCTCAACTGCTGTGCCAAAGGATTATTTCCCATAAAATACTAACGCCGAGAGATCTTAATAGGTATTATGGAGGTGGAGGGGGGGCTTGTGAACATGTTAGTTGGGGACACAAGGGGTTAACAACAAAGTTAAACAGATTCTTTGCAGGACGGCTTGTGGATGTGATCCTCCAGAGGAAACAGTGTGCTCACATTTACGTTTTGTTTTCCCATCTATTTGCCCACGACCCTTCCTTTGTCTCTCCTTTTGCTGATTTCCCTGTGGAATATTTTGCAGGACCGGAGTTTCTAGAACACCTGTTGGGGACTGTGGTCTTACTGGCACTAGCCAACCTTTCTAAGGTTCACTTTCTCTTCTCTGCCACTCCCTAACTGGAACCTTTGAATCTAGTTGGACTTAGCCTCTCTCTAAGAACTATGAACTCCTTACCCCACAATCTCTGCCTGCAGTTCTCTTTCCCATAGGCTAATCTCATCACTTGCAGTTCAATATTCTCCATTATCGTTTATGACCACCCCAGCCCTTTGTCCTCACATGGAGGATAGCCCAACATACACTTGGTATTAATCCCTACCTATCCTATCCTGCTGCAAAAGTTTTACAGTTGGAATATCTCTCATTATCTAGTTATTAAAAATATAAATTGTGGGGCCAGCGCTGTGGCGTGGTGAGTAAAGCCACCACCTGCAGTGCCAGTATCCCATATCGGCACTGGTTTGAGACCTGACTGCTCCACTTCCAGTCCAGCTCTCTGCTATGGCCTGGGAAAGCAGTAGAAGATGGCCCAAGTCCTTGGGCCCCTGCACCCACATGGGAGACCCAGAAGAAGCTCCTGGCTCCTGGCTTCGGATCAGGGCAGCTTCAGCCATTGTGGCCAACTGGGGAGTGAACCAGTGGATGGAAGATCTCTCTCTCTCTCTCTCTCTCTCTCTCTCTGGCTCTCCTCTCTCTGTTTAGCTCTGCCTTTCAAATAAATAAGTAAATCTTTTTAAAAAATATTAATTGTGCTCTGCAAATCCACCCCACTAGTTAAGAGCCTCTAGGACTGAAGGAACTGGAGGGGACACCCCTTCAATTAATGTACCTTTCCTTGAAATTGTTTCAGATTCTGGGTTATGATTTTTTTTTAAGATTTATTTTATTTATTTGAAAGGCAGAGTTACAGACAGAGGTAGAGAGAGAGAGGTCTTCCATCCACTGGTTCATTATCCAAAATGGCTCCAACAACCAGGGCTGGGTCAGGCTGAAGACAGGAGCCAAGAGCTTCTTCTGGATCTCCCATGTGGGTGGCAGGAGCCCAAGCACTTGGGTTGTCTTCCGCTGCTTTCCCAGGCCATAGCAGGGAGCTGGATCAAAAGTGGAGCAGCCAGGAGTTGAACCAGTGCCCATATGAGATGCTGCCACTGCAGGCCAGAGCTTTAACCTGCTACTCCACAGTGCCAGCCCCTATGACTCCTTTTTGAAGAAAGAGAGGGAGGATAAGAGGAAAAAAGGAAATCTCCTCCTTCCTCCTCCGACCCCGTTTTTTCCTAAAGATTTATTTAACTGAAAGGCAGAGTTACACAGAGAGAGGGAAGAATACAGAGAGAGAAAGAGATCTATCCGCCAGTTCAGTACTAAATGGCCGCATGGCTACAAAGTGGGATGGGCCAAAGCCAGGACTCCATCCAGGTCTCCCATGTAGGTGACAGGGGCCCAGGTACCTGGGCCATTTTCCACTGCTTTCCCAGGTGCATTAGTAGGAACCTGAATTGGAAGTGGAGCAGCCGGGACTTGAACTGGTGCCCATGTGGGATGCTGGTTGACATGAGAGGTGACAGCTTAACCCACTGCGCCATGCCAGCCCCCTTCTTTTTACCAGATATGAGCAGTTGATATGTTATGATCTGAACAGGATTTGGTTCCCCAAACTCATTCAGATATTTAAACCCCAGTCTTATGCTACCAATGAATGGACTGAGTGGAGCCACTGCTGGGAATGCCCATGTCAGAGTGCCTGGTTTGAGCGCTGGCTACTCTGTGCTTTGGATCCAACTTCCTGCTAATGCACCTGGCAGGCAGCAGAGGATAGTCCAAGGACTTGGGTTCATGGGAGACCTGGGTGGAGTTCCTGGCTGTTGGCTTTGGCCTGGAACAATGTGGGCTGTTGCAGCATTTGGGGAGGGAACTAGCAGATGGAAGATCTTTCTCTCTCTGTTAGTTGTGGACACCTGATCTAATTATGGTATGAGGGAGGTGGATCCAATAGGAGGTCTTTAGGTCATTGGAAGCTTGTCCTTTTAGGTGGTTCTCAGGCCCAGCATGAGACTGTACCTCCACCATCTTTTCGCTTCACTAAATGCCTGAATCAATGGGCTGCCCAGTCTTGGACTATGAACCTTCAAAACTTGAAGCTGAAATAAATCTCCCTTCCAAAGTAGCTCCTCTCGGGTATTTTATTTATTTATTTGAAACTGGAGAGAAAGGGAGGGAGGGGTGAGAGAAAAGGGGAAAGACAGAGAGAGAAATTTTTTGATTGATTCTATCCACTGGTTCTAGGCTGGACTAAAGCCAGGAGCCTGAAACTCAGTCCTGGAAGCAGCTACTTGAACCATCACCTGACGCTCCCAGGTGCATTACCACAGAACTGGCTGAGAAGCAGGGTAGTCGGGACTGGAAGCAGCACTCCAATATGGGGTGTGGGCATATGAGCAGTGGCTTAATCCACTGTGCCCCATTTTCTTTCCAATTGATAGCCACAGTTTGTGGGGCTATTTATTTACTTAAATTTTTTTAAAGTTTGTAGGATTGGGTTAATTTTTTTTTCTTTTTAAAGATTTATTTATTTATTGGGAAGGCACAGTTACAGAGAGGCAGAGGCACAGAGAGAGAGGTCTTCCATCTGCTGGTTCACTCCCCCATTGTCCTCAATGGCTGGAGCTGTGCCAATCCGAAACCAGGAGCCAGGAGCTTCTTCCAGGTCTCCTATGTGGGTGCAGGGGCCCAAGGACTTGGGCCATCTTCTACTGCTTTCGTAGGCCATAGCAGAGAGCTGGATTGGAAATGGAACAGCTGGGACTCGAACCAGCATCCATATAGGAAGCCAACACTGCAGGCTGAGGCTTTATCTGGACCGTGGATCTATTTATGATGCAAAAAACAAGCTTCTAAACCAATGCAGATTATCTGTGTATGTTCAGCTGTGTCATAGCTTTTAGCCCACTCTTAAAAATTTGTTTTCATTACCTTTTAATATTTTTCAGTTATTTGTCATCTTGCATCAGACAACCTATTCTGTAGAGCCTGACAGTACATTAGCATTCTGTTTGTCCTTCAAATCTTTCACTGCCAACACAGGATTCAGAGTGATAAATACCAGCTCTCTGCTATGGCCTGGGAAAGCAGCAGAAGATGGCCCAAGTCCTTGGGCTCCTGCACCCACGTGGGAGACCTGGAAGAAGCTCCTGGCTCCTGGCTTCGGATCAGGGCAGCTCCAGCCATTGCAGCTATCTGGGTAGTGAACCAGCAGATGGAAGACCTCTCTCTCTGTCTCCACCTCTCTCTGTAGCTCTGTCTTTCAAATAAATAAAATAAATCTTTTTTTTTTTTTTTTTTAAAGAGTGATAGATAACTCCATCTACTTAGGGCTTCAACTTATGCCTAGGCAAAGCAGCCAGAGCAAAATTTTTTTTAAGACTTTTTTTTTAAGATTTATTTTATTTATTTGAAAGACAGAGTTACAGAGTGAGGCAGAGACAGAGAGAGAGGTCTTCTATCTGCTGGTTCACTCCCCAGTTGACTGCAAAAGCCGGAGCTGCACTGATCCAAAGCCAGGAGCCAGGAGCTTCTTCCAGGTCTCCCAGGCCAGGGCTTTAACCCGCTGCGCCATAGCACTGGCTCCGCAAATTTTTTTTTTTAAATCTTCATTGAACTATAATTCACAGGCCACAAAATCCACTCATTTGGGGCCAGCACTGTGGTATAGCAGGTTATGCCACTGCCTGCAACACTGGCATCCCATAGGAACACTGGATCGAGTCCTGTCTGTTCCACTTATGGGTCTCCCACCCGGGTCTCCCACACTGGTGCAGGGGCCCAGGAACTTGGGCCATCTTCTACTGCTTTCTCAGGCCATAGCAGAGAGCTGGATCGGAAGTGGAGCAGCTGGGTCTCGAACTGGTGCCCATATGGGATGCTGGTGCTTCAGGCCAGGGTGTTAACCCGCTGCACCACAGTGCTGGCCCCTGCTCCACTTCTGATCCAGTTGCCTGCTAATGCACCTGGGAAAGCAACAGGAGATGGCCCAAGGATTTGGGCCCCTGCACCTATGTGGGAGTCCTGGATGGAATTCCAGTCTTCTGGCTTCAGTCTGACCTTGCTCTGGTTGTGGCCATTTGGGGAGTAAACCAGCAGATCTCCTTCTCTGTCTCTGTCTCTCTCTCTCTGTAACTCTGCCTTTCATATAAATAAATGAATCTTTAAAAAAATTCACTCATTTGAAGTGCATAATTCAATGGTTTAACCATATACACAGAATAGTTCAGCTGTCACCACAATCTGTTTAGAACATTTTTATCACCAGAAAAAGAAATTCAATACTCATCAGCAGTCATGCCCCTGCCCTCACCCCGTAACAGTCCTGGGCAATCACTAACTACTTTCTGTCTCTACAGATTTGTCTTTTCTCAACATTTCACATAACAAAACCATACTGTATATGGCTTCCTGTGCCTGGCTTCTCTCACTTAACATAATGTGTTCAAGGTTCATCTGTGTCCTACTCATCAGTACTTAAATCTTCTTATTGGTGAATAACATGATGCCGTATGAATGTGCCACATTTCATTTATTTGCACATGGGTTGATGGACATAGCAATTCTTAAAGCCACGCCTTTCTAACTTTTTTTTTTAAGATTTTATTTATTTCAAAGATTGAGTTACAGAGAGAGGTGAAGACAGAGAGAGAGGTCTCCCATCTTCTAGTTCGCTCCCCAAATGGTCCCAACAGCCAGAACTAAGCTGATCTGAAACCAGGAGCCAGACAGGGGCCAGGAGCTTCTTCTGGGTCTCCCACACAGGTGCAGGGGCCCAAGCACTTGGGCCATCCTTTGCTGCTTTCCCATATGGACTGACATGGAGCAGCTGGAACTCAAACCAGCGCCCATATGGGATGCTGGCACTGCAGACTGGGGCTTTAACTCACTGCACCACACCGCCAGCCCCAGACTTTCCAAATTCTCAAAGTCTCGGTTGCTGGGAAGTACCCAAGATAATGAAAAGAGATATCAAGTGACAAAACACTACACATAGAAGAGTGACTGGGGCCAGCACTGTGGCACAGTGGACTAAGCATCTGCCTGTGGTGCTGGCATCCTGGATGGGCCCTGGTTCTAGTCCCAGCTGCTCCCCTTTGATCCAGCTCTCTACTATGGCCTTGGAAAGCAGTGGAAGATGGCCCAAGTCCTGGGCCCTTGCACCTATGTGGGAGACTTGGAAGAAGCACTTGGCTCTTGGCTTCAGTTTGGCCTAGCTCTGCCATTGTGGCCATTTGTGGAGTGAAACAACAGATCGAAGACCTTTCTCTCTGTCTTTCCCTCTCTCTGTCTGTAACTCTACTTGTCAAATAAACAAAAATGAAAAATTTTTTTTTTCTTTGACAGGCAGAGTTAGACAATGAGAGAGAGAGAGAGACAGAAAGGTCTTCCTTCCATTGGTTTACCCCCAAAATGGCGGCCACGGCTGGCGCGCTGTGCCGGTCCAAAGCCGGGAGCCAGGTGCTTCTCCTGGTCTCCCATGCGGGTGCAGGGCCCAAGGACTTGGGCCATCCTCCACTGCACTCCCTGGCCACAGCAGAGAGCTGGACTGGAAGAGGAGCAACCAGGACAGAATTCGGTGCCCCAACCGGGACTAGAACCCAGGGTGCTGGTGCTGCAGGCGGAGGATTAGCCTAGTGAGCCACAGCACCGGCCAAAAAAATGAAAATCTTAAAAGAAAACGAAGACCTCTGGATCATTCTGCATTGCAGGGAACACACATATTCTTTAAAAAAAAAAAAAGAACAGTGAGCCCTCTAGTCCCTCAGTCAATGGACAGATTACTTTAGGTGTTTACCTTATCTGGTGCATTTTTGCTTAACATTAAAGGAAAGACTCGCTCATGAAGCCAGTACTTGCGATTGTTGTTATTACAGCCATACAGGAAGATATTATTCTTACGGCTGTGGCCATGGAAATCACAATACAAGAGGACTTCTCTTTCTTCAAGAAGTCTGTCAAAGAGATGAAGAATTCAGTAGACATCCAAATTCATGCAAATAATCAAGGATCATTTGGGGCCTTCCCTAAGTATGGCTGTCGACAGCTTTCTTCCCCCACTACAAAAATCTCAACTCCAGTGGCCTTCAAAGGACCCTATCCCCATCCTCAGCCATTGCTGAAAACATGTCACCAGCACCCCTGGCCTCTGCTAGTCAGAGGGACTTGAAATGAAAGTTTTCTTTAAATAATTTATCTATTTATGTTCATCTACTTGAAAGGAAGAGTGGCAGAGCGATGGAGTGCAAAGACATTTTCCATACACTGACTGGTTCATTCCCCATGTGCCTGCAACAGCCAGCGCTGGGTTGGGTTGAAGCCAGGAACTCAGAACTCCGTATGGATCTCCTGCATGGGTGGCAGGGGCCCAAGCACTTCAGCCATCATCCGCCACCTCCTAGGATGCATTAGCAGGAAACTGGATTGGAAGTGCAGCAGCCAGGACTTGAACTGGCACTGCAATATGGGGTGCAGCTGTCAGCAGTAGCAGCTTACCCCACTGCACCACACACCTGCCCTGAAATGGAAAGTTCTGACATGGAAAGAGGAAGTGGGTAGGCCTTGGGTAGGCCGACAAGGAAGTGGAGAAAAACTATAGAAGACCTTTCTCTGTCTCTCTTTCTCTCTGTAGCTCTCTCAAATGGATAAATAAATATAAAAAAAATTCTAAAAAATCACAAAACCAGCCAGTAGTACAGTCAGGCCTGTCTGATCCCCACACATGCTCTTAGCCACTCTGCCTGCGCCCAACACTTCCTACCATTTACACAGCTTAGAAGGTACACATTCACATATTTTTATTTGCTCTGTTTTCATTTGCAATTGACATTGCTCCTTCAGGGTGGGCTCTATTACATTCTAGTCTTCAACGGCTTTTACACAGGCTTGAAGAATGCAGCGTGACTTCATTTTCTTTCTGTATGATTAGCAGCATTACATGGTAATAAAGAACGTAGACTCTGGGTCCACAGGGCCTGTGTCCAGGTGTCTACTCTGTCACTTACTAGCTGTGCGTGCACACACAAGTCATTTAACCTTGCTGGGCTGCCATTCTATCATCATACACATCACGGGATCCTGACGCTCCCTAACCTCACAGGGTTAGCACGAAGGTTATATGGGTCATGTGTGTAAAACATTGACTACAGTGCCTGCCACTTCATACATATGCAAATGAACTGTTAGCTATAATCACAGAGTTGCATCTTGGAGACCAGTGACTCTCCTCATCTTTTCCATTCAGTGGTTTCACTTGTAAGTCAAACGGCTGTAGCCACAGTGCTGCATGTTCAGTTTCAACTCAAAGTGAAAGCCCAGATTTGGAAGTACAAAAGTGAACAAAGCCCCGGACTTCAAAGTCCAAAGCCACACCCATGCCTGTCGCAACAGAAGAGACCTCACGCTAGAGCCTGGCTCTGGCACGCCTAGCATTCACCGAAAGTTCAACAGATCAAAGGTCTCACCTTTGGATCATGTTCCTGGTGTACCAAACGCAGGGGAAAGACTCCTTCAGGACGGTTTTATAGCGTCTGTTCAAGTCCCTTCCGGCCAGTGAACACCGGTAATTGCCCACAATCACACCATCTGGATTTAACATGGGAACCACCTTGAAGACAAAGACATCTCTGAGGAGCTGGGCATCCGGGGAATCGCTAAGGATGAAGTCCAAAAAGCCGTTCATAATCCAGGAGCCGTTGCTCTCCCCAGGGTGGACCCTGGCGCTCAAGACCACGGCTTTCTTCGCGGCCGCCTCCTGCGGGGACCGGGATGGGTTGGTGATGGTGAGCAGGTAGACGGTATTTCCTGCCAGGCTCCTGCATAAAGTTCGCAGCTTGCAGAACTGAGACTGGGTGGGGTTGTTTGCCACTGACAGGAGGTAGCACTGCAGATCAGTGTACGTGTATGGGTAGAAGTGGGCAAAAAAGCAAGTGTCCTGGTCATGTGGAAACTGAACGGTCCACGTGAGGCAGTAGAAGGGCTGCTGCCCATCATCCGCGTTGCTCTTATAGTACTTGATTTCACTGCCCTCTCTCCTCCAGCCGATGCTGTGGGTGCTGGCGTCCAGCTGGGAGTACATGAGTGGCTTCATCCCTGCAGCATAAAGGCTCTTGGGTTTGAGCAGGTTCACAATGGTGAAGCGGTAGGTGGTATCTTTCCTGGTGTTCTGAACGCGAAAATAAAACCACTGCGTGTGCTTGTTTGTGTAGAGGTCAGTTCGCAAGGTAAGCTCGTACTCATAGGTGCCTCTGTAATGGAGAAAATAGAAGGACACCTCTGGGACTTCACACGCCTCTCAAAAAGCAGATTTGGCATAATACTGTTTTCCCCTGGTAAAAGGAGATGTTACTACAATAGAAAAGCCTGCTGCATCGAAACAGTTATTGTCTAATTTATCTGGTTCTCTAACTTACAGATCAGATTTGCAGAAGCCTGGAAAAGGAAAGTTTGTTTAGGGTGAGGAAGCTGCATGGGATGTTCAGGAGTCCTGTGATGTCCTCCCAGAGTCCCCCAGGCACTGACCACGGCGCTACATTTCTCCGAAACACACCCAGCAGTGGCCAGAGCCCTCTGGTGGCTGCCAGCGTGCCCACTGTGGAAATGTTTCTTATCTCTGGTCATCAATTACTTCAAGACAGAATGTATTCACCTTGTTTAAAACAGTCAGGACTGACTTGCAGAAGAGAAAATACAAATAGCTAAAAATATATGAAAAGATACTCACCCACATGCATACTTAAAGAAATGAAAACTCAAGCCAGATGTCATGTCTCCCTCTATCTCATCATCATTCTAGCACTGGGAACAGGCAGCGCTATACACTGCTGCTGCGAACTGAAATCACATTGGAGGGTGATTTGGCACTAACTAGGAATAAAGTGTTTAAAGAATGTGTTTAGAGTGTTTAAATGTGTTTAACACATTTAACACATTTCAACCTGGCCCAGTCCTTGCTCTTGCAGCCATTTGGGGAGCAAACCAGCAATGGAAGATCGATTCTCTCTCTTTTTCTCTCTCCCCCTTCTTCCTTCCCTCTCTTTCCCACCCTTCCCTCCCTCCCTCTTTCCCTGTCATTTTGCTTTCAAATAAATAAACTAATTTTTAAAAAGTTTATTTTGGTGCAAAAGAATTTTGAAAGCCATATATGGTTTTTTCATAGTATGCATTTTCATGAACTTTTTTGAAGACCCCACATACACATGGATTTCCAAAAAATTTTGCACCAAGATAAATTTCTTTTCATTCCACTTTTCATAAGCTTTTTGAAGCATCCTTGTAATAAACTACTGCATCTGGAGGTATTATTACAGGAATTTTATGTATATATTTTTTGCAATATAAATTTCAAGTGAGCACCAATTTATAACAGAAGAAACAATTTGCGTAATGTATTATTCTGGGAAAAAACACGAACCATAATTATTCCAATTCTTTTTCACCCCCACAGTCATTCCCTGTCACCTCTCCTTGTTTTCTAAGATTTATTTATTTGAAAGGTAGAGTTACAGAGAGAGGGAGGGTCAGAAAGAGATCTTCCACCGGCTGGTACTCCCCAAACGGCTGCAACAGCTGGGGCTGGTCTAGGCCTAAACCAGGAGACCAGAGCTCTACCTAGGTCTCCCACGTGGATGAAGGGGCCCAAGTACCTGGGGCATCTTCCATTGCCCTCCCACGTACATTAGCAGGGAGCTGGATCAGAAGCAGAGCAGCCAGGCCTTGAACGAGGGCTGCTAGTATGGAGGCAGCAACTTAACCCATCGTGCCATGGTGCTGCCCCCCATCACTTCTTACAAACACTCCTTACTCCTAGTATCGTTCCCGAAGACACCTCTCAGTCACGCACTCGTGACCCCCATGGGAACCTCCTCCGTTACTCACACTCTGACAGCTTTCTGCAGATTCCCACTCTCAAACCGCGACTCAAACAGCAGCGTGTGATCTTCCGGCCCTTGCAGGGGCACGGCAAGCTCCTTGATCATGCCCCGTTTGCCTCCCACTCTGGAACTGGTGAAATAGGATCCTTCTGCAGGCAGTGTGGACAAGAGAGACACATTTAGACCAGGCTGCATTCAGAGTCCATTCCCTCAGCAAATACTGACAAAGCCCCCCAAGGCAGGCGGCACCATTTTGCTTGTATCAGCAAATATCCAGGTTTTCATCCGTCCCTTCTGAGACGTCTAATTTTCAATAGTGTATTTCTTTGAAGCTCTTTAAGTGGTTTAGAGTACTTCCTTTTGCTTCATGAATCTGTACCCAACTACCCTAATTTAAAAGGATGTTGGGTGGCCGGTGCTGTGGCATAGCGGATAAAGCTGCCGCCTGCAGTGCTAGCATCCCATATGGCCATCAGTTCAAGACCTGGCTGCTCCACTTCCAATCCAGCTCTCTGCTATGGCCTGAGAAAGCGGTAGAAGATGCCCCAGCCAGTGCCGTGGCTCACTAGGCTAATCCTCCACCTTGCGGCGCCGGCACCCCGGGTTCTAGTCCCGGTTGGGGCGCCGGATTCTGTTCCAGTTGCCCCTCTTCCAGGCCAGCTCTCTGCTGTGGCCTGGGACTGCAGTGGAGGATGGCCCAAGTCCTTGGGCCCTGCACCCCATGGGAGACCAGGAGAAGCACCTGGCTCCTGCCATCGGATCAGTGCGGTGCACCAGCTGCAGCCACCATTGGAGGGTGAACCAACGGCAAAGGAAGACCTTTCTCTCTGTCTCTCTCTCACTGTCCACTCTGCCTGTCAAAAAATAAAAAAATTAAAAAAAGAAAAAAGATGCCCCAAGTCCTTGGGCCCCTGCACCCATGTGGGAGATCTGGAAGAAGCTCCTGGCTTCTGGTTTTGGATCAGCCCAGCTCTGGTTGTTGCAGCCATTTGGGGAATGAACCAGTGGATGAAAGATCTCTCTCTGCCTCTACTTCTCTGTAACTCTACCTTTCAAATAAATAAACACATCTTTTTTTTTTTTTAAAAAGGATATTGGTAAAAAGTGATTTTTTTAAAAGATGTATTTATTTATTTGAAAGAGTTACACAGAGGGGCAGCTCCATGGCTCACTTGGTTAATCCTCCGCCTTCGGCACCAGCATCCCATATGGGCGCCGGGTTCTAGTCCCGGCTGCTCCTCCTCCAGTCCAGCTCTCTGCTGTGGCCCGGGAAGGCAGTGGAGGATGGCCCAAGTGCTTGGGCGCCCGCACCCATGTGGGAGACCAGGGAGAAGCACCTGGCTCCTGGCTTCGGATCAGCATAGCTCTGGCCATAGCAGCTATTTCGGGGGTGAACCAACAGAAGGAAGACCTTTCTCTCTCTCACTGACTAACAGTCAAATAAATTAAAAAAACAAATATGTGATTTAATTATTAAAAAAAAAAAAGAGTTACACAGAGAGAGGAGAGATGGGGGGGGAGGGTCTTTCATCCGATGGTTCACTCCCCAATTGGCCGCAATGGCTGGACCAAAGCCAGGAGCCAGGAGCTTCTTCCAGGTCTCCCATGCGGGTGCAGGGGCCCAAGGACTTTGGGCCATCTTCTACTGCTTTCTCAGGCCACAGCAGAGAGCTGGATGGGAAGTGGAGCGGGACTCAAACCAGCGCCCTTATGGGATGCCAGCGCTTCAGGCCAGGGTGTTAACCCGCTGTGCCACAGAGCCAGCTCCCTAAATGGTGATTTTTTTAAAAAGACTTATTTATTTATTTGAAAGGCAGAGTTACAAAAAGAGAGGGAGAGACAGAGAGATCTTCTGCCCAGCAGTTCACTCCTCAAATGGCCACGATGGTCAGCGCGGCGCCAGGCCAAAGCCACGAGCCTGGAACGCCATCCAGGTCCCCTGTGTGGGTGCAGGGGCCCAGGTACTTGGGCTGTCCTTCACTTCTCTCCCAGGTGCATTAGCAGGGAGCTGAATTGGAAGCAGAATACCAGGACTCCAACAGGCACACCTAAGGGACGCTGGCATCACTGTGCATGAAGCCGGCACATGTTTTAACATCTGAAACTGAATGGAATAAGACATAATACATCTCAACTATTTTTATGGAGGATCTGAAAACACTGCAATCTTAATACAGTCAATAATCAATAATACCTACTGCAATCAATAATACCTCCTCACCAATTTTTAAGAGGAAATAAAGTCTACTCCACATAATTTGTTGGTCTATCCTTCCAGATTTAAATAAAATGAAAATAAAAATTTGAGAAGAATTGGGATGGGCGAACTTGCATACGAAGGGTTCCAAAATACAGTTATGTGTGAAAATAAAAATGCAGCTGGCATTTTATCTTTAAAATGAAGATAAAACAAAAAATTATAAAATCTAACAAAACTCAGGTTACAATCACAACCCCTAATCCTCAGAATAATCAATTGTCAATTTTTTAATATGGAGTTACAATTTTTCAAATTCAGAGACAGTGACATCAGGTATCTTTTTTTTTTTTTTTGTAATTACCGGCGCCGCAAGGTGGAGGATTAGCCTAGTGAGCCGTGGCGCCGGCTGTAATTACTTCTACAAAACTATTTTAGAGCTTTATAATTTTTTCAAGAACTTCTCTTTGTTTCATTTAAAAAAAAAAAAGGATTTACTGGGGCCAGCATTGTGGCGTAATGGGTAAAGCTGCTGCCTGTGGTGCCAGCATCCCAAATGAATGTTGGTTCGAGTCCTGTTTCTCTACCTCCCATCCAGCTCCCTGCTAATGGCCTGGGAAAGCAGCAGAATCTGGCCCATGTCCTTGGGCCCCTGTTCCTATACAGAGGTACGGAAGAAGCTCCTGCATCCTGGCTTCGGTCTGGCTCAGCCCTAGTTGTTGCAGCCATGTGGGGAGTGAACCAGTGGATCGAAGATCTCTCTCTGTTAATCTCTCTCTCTTGCTCTGTAACTGTGCCTTTCAAATAAATAAAAAAATCTTTAAAAAAGAGATTTATTTATTTGAAAAAACAAGAGAGAGAAGAGACAGAAGTTTTTTTTTTTTAATTTTTTTTTTTTTTTGGACAGGCAGAGTGGACAGTGAGAGAGACAGAGGTCTTCCTTTGCCGTTGGTTCACTCTCCAATGGCCGCCGTGCCCAGCGTGCTGCGGCCGGCACACCACGCTGATCCGAAGGCAGTAGCCAGGCGCTTCTCCTGGTCTCCCATGGGGTGCAGGGACCAAGCACTTGGGCCATCCTCCACTGCACTCCCGGGCCACAGCAGAGAGCTGGCCTGGAAGAGGGGCAACCGGGACAGAATCCGGCGCCCCGACCGGGACTAGAACCCGGGGTGCCAGCGCCGCAAGGTGGAGGATTAGCCTATTGAGCCACGGCGCCAGCCGAGACAGAAGTCTTCCATCTACTGTTTCACTTGCCGAATGGCCCCAATAGCCAGTTCTGGGCCAGGCCAAAGCCAGGAACAAGGGACTCCATCTCCATGTCCCACAAAGGTGATGGGGGCCCAGGCTCTTGGGTCATTTTCAGCTGCTTTCCCTGGCACATTATCAGGAAGCGGGGTCAGAAGTGAAAGCAGCTGGGGGCCAGCGTTGTGGCCATGTGGGCGCCGGTTGGAGTCCCAGCTGCTCCACTTCTGATCCAGCTCCCTGCTGACGTGCCTGGGAAGTCAGTGGAAGATGGCCCAAGTGCTTGGGCCCCTCCACATGGAGACCTGTAAGAAGCTCCTGGCTCCTGGCTTCAGATCAGCCCAGCTCTGGCCATTGTGACCATTTGGGGAGTAAACCAGCGGATGGAAGACCTTTCTCTCTGTCTCTCCCTCTCTCTGTCTAATCTCAAATAAATACATAAAATCTTTTTTTTTTTAAAAAGGACATATTTTTTCACCTTTTGTTGATTTTCTCTCTAATTGATGAATAATGTCTAGATTCAACATGTCAGTGACTTCACAAATCAAGCAATTTTTTTTTAAAGATTTATTTATTTGAAAGTCAGAGTTACAGAGAGGCAGAGGCAGACAGAGAGTTCTTCCTTCCGCTGATTCACTCCCCATATGGCTGTAATGACTGGAGCTGGACCTATCTAAAGCCAGGATCCTGGAGCTTCTTCCTGGTCTCCCACACAAGTGCAGGGGCCCAAGCACTTGGGCCATCTTCTACTGCTTTCTCAGGCCATAGCAGAGAGCTGGATCAGAAGTAGTATAGCAAGGACTCAAACCAGCACCCACAGAGGATGCCGGAACTGAAGGCAGTGGCTTTACCCACTATTCCACAGTGCCAGGCACCTGACTTGTTTAAAAGAATTTTAAATTTATTTTTGTCTAGTTTGAAAGCCAGAAAGACAGACAGGCAGACAGATATCTTTAATTTGTAGTTCACTCCCCAAATGCCTGCAACAGCCTGGGCCAGGATCCCAAAGCTCAATCCAGGTCTTCCACGTGGTGACAGAGACCCACGTCCTTGAGCCATCATCTATCTGTTGCCTCCTAGCATTAGCACGACGCTGGATTAGAAATGGAGGAGCTAAGACTTGAACCAGGCACTTCATAAGGAATGTGAGTATTTCAAGTGGTGATTTAACTGCTGTGCCATCCAGCCGCTCTCCAGATGTCATTAACAGAGGAACTTCAATGTTTTCTCCAGTCTCTGATGTAACACTTAAGTCAATCCAAGGTACTGCCCACAGTTACATTTCTCAAAAAGCAGAACATCTTTCCTTTGTTCTTCAATATTCCCATAGAACACAGATATTTTGGAGTCCCTAAAATGACAGACTCCCACATTCTCCTTAGAACCTCATCTTCCTAGTTTTTTTAATTTCTTCATTCCTGAGAAATTCAAGGGACAAGATGGGGGCAGTTGCCACAACACTGTGTTAACAGGACCACTGGGCAATTTAGCAAAGAGCCACATCAGGAGATAATCCAGGTCACTTCACTCACAGCACCTTCTGTCTAAAATTTTCCAAACTCCACCTCGGGCATTCCATCATGTAGAGCTCAGGCAGACTGAATGGCTGCACCTCATTTACTTATCTGCATATAGATTTTCATCACATTAACGTGATGGAAGGTCATAATCAAGGCAACTGGAAGGAGGGCGTGTGCGACTTCTCTCTCA